CAGGTGGGTCTCGAACCCACGGGCTCAGGAAATCCACTCACCTCAGCCTCCCAAAGTGCTAGGATTACAGGCTGAGCCACCGAGCCCGGCTCTTTCTTTTCTTAAGAATAGCGTGTTGAGCCATAATCCCAGCACTTTGGGAGACCAAGGTGAGAGGATTGCCTGAACCCATGATTTTGAGACCAATTTGGCGAGACCTTGTCTCTACAGTAAATCAAAAAATTAGCCAGGTGTGGTGGCACGCGCCTGTATTTCCAGCTACTTGGAAGGCTGAGGTGGAAGGATGACCTGAGCCCAGCAGGTCAAGGCTACAGAATGAGACCTCGACTCAAAAAAAAGAAAAAGAAAAAAAAAAGAAGCCGGGCATGGTGGCTCATGCCTATAATCCCAGCATTTTGGGAGGCCAAGGTGAGAGGATTGCCTGAGCTCGCAGGTACGAGACCAGCCTGGGCAACCTGATGAGACCTCATTTTGACAATAAATCTAAAAAAAAATTAGCTGGGCATGGTAGTGTGTGCCTGTAGTTCTGGCTACTTGGAAGGCTAAGACAGAAGGATCACCTGAGCCCAGCAGGTCAAGGATGCGGTGGCCGTGAGCATGCAACTGCACTCCAGTCTCGCAACGGAGTAAGACTCCAACTCAAAAAAAGTAAAAAGAAAAAAAAAGAATGGTGTGTTCTTTCCTCTCTCTCTCTCTCTTTTTCTGAGTTGGAGTCTCACTTCGTCGCCCAAGCTGGAGTGCAGTGGCACACTCCCAGCCACCGCAGCCTCGACCTGCTGGGCTAAGGCGATCCTTCCGCCTCAGCCTTCCTAGTAGCCAGAACCTACAGGCGTGCACTATCATGCCCAGTTAATTATTTTTATTTATTGTAGAGACAAGATCTTGCCAAGTTGCCCAGACTGGTAGAATGTTTCTTACACTCGTTTCAGAAAGGGTTGTACCACGTTCACTCCCCATCAAGCCTTGGAAGAGAATCCAGAGACCCTCTCCATCCTTAGCCATCCCAGACCTTCTTCTCTAAGAGGAGGATCTTGCAGGAGATAATCAGGGAGAGGGAAGTCAATCAGCATTTGAGGCAGTGTGCCTCTGCCCCTCACCCCCTGGCCAGCCCACGTCCCTCACCACCAGCTTTCTTTTTTTTTTTTTTTTAACCACCTGCCTTCTTACACTCATTTCTCTGACCAGGAGTCTCTTCCTGCACTTCCTTGACTTCATGCTCCAAGCCCCACCTGGCCTCTGGCAGAGGCCAAGCAGGCCAAGACATAGATGAGCCCAAGAGATGACTCAGCCACCTCCTCTCAGGAGTGCTGGGTGACACGGAGAGGTGGTAGCTTCAGTGCCTCTGGGCTTCAGCTCCCAGGCTCTTCTTCCAGTAATCTACCCCCCTCCCACCTTTGTGAAATGGACAACACTGAAGATAACCATCTGGACTAGTGATTTTCCAAGGCTTTTTCTGAAGGAGCCGGTATAGGGGTAGGCAGGCGGGGGTCATTACCTTCTTCCTCCCACCCTCCCCTGGGGGCCAGGAGACAGGCTCCATCACCCCACCCATTCCATAGCCACCTGCTGCTCCTGCCTGCCCCACCTTCCACGAACCAGGCCCTGGGTCTCCAGGGATGGAGGGTGGAGCAGGCTGCTGTCCCATCAGCCCCTTTCTAGGAGGGTCAAGCAGGAAGTAGTTCCTGCGTTGACTTTGCCACAGGCAGATTCTGACCTGAGTAGACCATGTACACTGGAGCCTTCCACAAAGGTGCGTATGGAGAACCACATGTTCCCAAAGGGCTCGCTCACTCAGCCCCCCAGCCCTCCCCCGGCATCCTCATTGTCTTCTCCTTGACTGACTCATGATTGAGCAATTGGGAGCCTCCCACCCCACCCCGCCCACCTAGCCCTGCTTGCTGACTTTTCCAAAAGCCCAAATTGCCCTGATACCAAGCCCCTGGATGTCAGCCACTCCAGCCCCACCCTTCCTCCCCCAGATTCTGGGCCCCACCCCCCCTCCAAGTGCCTCCTAAAAGCACCTGCTAGCTCCCCAGACCCCTCCAACGTACAGCCCTGAACATCCACCACGCCCTGCAAAGCTCACCATCCCTTCCTATCCCCACACACTACTTGAGTCCTAAAGTGTTTCCAAGTGGTGGGATGTGTCCCTAGACTCCTGCCCTCCCTGTCACTGTTCTCCCCAGAGCCTAGCACGTTTTCAAGTCTGTCTAGATTCTCTGTGTCCCTTCCACCTACCTCTAATTCATTTGCTATTAATTCACTATTATATATTTGCTTCCTCGTTCATTCATTAACTCTATTCACTCTCATTCATTCAGTTGTTCAGTAATGCATTCATTCTATTGCTCATTCATTCACCATTTCTCACTCTCTTTTTTTTTTTCTTGTAGAGACAAGGTTTTGCTATGTTGCACAGGCCGGTCTCCTGAATTCCTGGTCTCAAGCAACCTTCCTGCCTTGGCCTCCCGAAGTGCTGGGACTACAAGCATGAACCACTGTACCAGGTTCATTCTCTTCTTAATTTACACATGTGTCCCTTCTGCCTTCAAAGCACAGGGAAGGCACACTCTGAACTGGGCTGGTAATGCCGTCTCTATTTGCAAAGACTGTTTCAAACAAATCTTGACAGCCCCATTCTCTGCTCCCTCTTCTGCTCTTTTCCCAATTAGTTCCACAAGGCCAATCTTCCACATACATAGGAGTCCCTGCCTCCCCGCTCCCCACCCTCAAGGACTCCCTGCATCTAATTCTCACATATGCACAGCAAGAACTCTGCCATTCTCGATCCCCTCTGCTTGGGTAACCCATCGACCTTCCACTTACTTCTGCTCTTGGATCAAGAAGCCAGTTTCTGAAATTGTTTCCAAACAGATGAGGTTGGAGGAGTTTGGTGTGGACACACACACACACACACACACACACACACACACACACACACACACAGCTGTCCCTGGCCTCACCAAGACTCAGAGAGCTCCTTAGTCTGAGGGGAAAGGCTGAGCCCAGGTCACAGCACCCCTGCCGTCACCCCCACTCTGACTGGGCTGGGCAGGGGAGTGCTCCTACAGGGCCTGTGGCTCTGGCAATCAAAGCAGGTCAAGCCAGGGCCTGCCTGGATCCTGAGGTGGAGAAGCTGCTGAGGTTCAGTCCCTCTCCCTCTCCTTTCCCCTCTCTCGGGGAGCTTCAGGCTTCCTCAGGGCCTCACTCAGTTTCCTCCTGGATCTCATCATCCCTCTCAAGGAACAGCTCCTGGCATAAAGGGGCCTGATCCTGGGGGCTACTTGGGCCATAAGGTGGAAGAGAAGCTACCTCTGTCCCTGCCTCCTCTCCCCAAGTTTTCAGGCTCCCTGGGCTCTTCTCGGTGCCTTCTGGACCCCATCCTCTCTCCCAGGACGCAGCTCCCAGAGCCCAGTGAGGCCTGTGTCTGGGGTCTGACCACCCCCTACCCCCACCAACATGTGTTTGCCCTTTTCTGTTTGGGAAGGACCCAGCAGCTGTGAGGAAAGCCAGCTAACGCACCGCCCAGTGTCCCGGCCCCTGGAGAAGAGCCCAGTCAGCTCCTGGGCCGGAGAGGGGGTCTCGCCACCCCTTCTACCTCTCTGAAAGCCTCGCCCAGCCCCTGGCCCTCCCAGGACTCCCCCATTTTCAAACTGGCCTTTGGGGAAAGTTAATAAATAATTGACGCGCTCTCCCTGCCCAATCTCTGGCAGGCCCCTCTCCCCAGGTCCCCTTCACGGCCCCTTCTCCTGGCCTCCCAAGCCTGCGGGGCCCCTCAGGCAGCTCCAGACTTCCCAGGCCAGGCCAAGGGTGCTCACCTGCCTCCTCGGTCAGCCTCCTCTCCAGCAGGGCTCTGGGGCCTGGGCTCTGGCACTGCCAAGCTGCTCCCTGCGCTCAGTCCAGCCAGGACTCCTCCCTGCTGCACTCCCAGAATCTGTCCCACTCCCTGCAGGCCCTGCCCGCTGAGCTGGCTCGGTGGGGAGGTAGTGGCGGGGCTCTCGACTTGGCCCTGGGGTTGGGCCCTTGTTAAAGGGATACACACCTTTTTGAACACCCCTCTTCCTCAACCCCAGAGGGAGTGGTAGAAGCTGGCACTCCCCCAACTCCACCCTCCTAACCCTGTAGGGCCTGAAAGGAAAGGAGGGGCTGTCACCTGCCCTTCTCACCAGGGTCACTGGGAGCCCAGTTTCAGGGGCCTCCAACAGAAAAGTTTGGATAGCATTCCAGGCCAGAAACTTCCTTGCTGTTGGGATTTCAGAAGTAATGTGACTGATTTCTGTGGGCTCAAGTCAGAAGGCAGATACCAGGAACCAGTGTCTAGCTCCAGGGTCTTCCGGCCCCAGTCCAGCCCATCGCTAGCTCCTCTCCTCTGAGACTAACCCCTAAGATCTCTCGTGTACAGCAAAAGACTCCTCTGGAAATTCTCCACACCTCACTCTTTCCTTAAAATACCCAAGGAAACTGGCCAGCTTAATCCCCGTAGACTGGGGCAGCCCAAACCCGACTGCGGGGACCTACCACCCACTCCAGCAGTAATGATGTCAACCCACTGAGCATTCACTGTGTGTCAGGCTCCCTGAAAAGTGCTTTACATAATGTGTGGTATTATCCTCCTGACAATCCTGTGAGTGAAGTACTGCTAATATCCCCATTTTACAGATGACAAAACTGATACTCACAGCATGCCCAAAGTCCCAAAGATAATAAGCGGCAGAGCTGAGATTCAAACCCAAGCCAGTCAGACTGTTTATCAGCCCCATGTCTCTCTTGCTATTAGTCAGCCAGGGCTTGGACACCTGGGTTCCTATCTTTTTCCCTAGGTGCACGCATGCATGTGCACACAACACACACACACACACACACACACACACACACACACACACACACACACACACTCATTCCCTCTCACAGGGCCACCCACTCACTGGCAAAGAAGAGCCTCAGAGAGGACCAGGTCACCCACCTTTTGGGCCTGATGCCACCCTCAACCCAAACCCATGGGGAAGTGAGTCCCATTCACTTCCGCTGCCAACCACTCCAGTCCATGTGCCCCACCCCACCGATGATTCTGCCATTCACCCCAAATCCCCCCTTCCCATGAACCTTGAAAGGGGTGTCCAGTCAAGAAAAACATCCTTCACTTTTTTCACTTTTTTATTAATCAAATGATACAAAACAACCATCATTCTGTAAATGCCCAAGCACCCAGTTGGTCCTCTCACCCCGATGTCACACCCTCCTCAGCCTCTTCCCTAGCCCTAGTCTCCCTCCTCCCCGGCCCTAGCCCAGGACCAGAGTTCCAGAGGAGGCTGGGGCAGAGCTGGAGGACAGAAGGGAGAGCAGTGGACGGACGGCTATGGCTAGGACTCAGGGAAGAGATGAGGAGGGGTAGCTTCTTAAAGACCCTGTTTAGTGCCAAATATCCAGCCATGTTCCCATTCCCGTCTTCAGATCATTTCCCACTTCCTCTCTATCCTCCCTCCACTACCAAATTCCTTGTCCCTTACACCCCCTTTATCCCTCCAGCATACCTCAGTATCCATTTATGACCCAACCCACCCCCTGGGCCTCCCTCTGGTGGGGACTCCTGGACCCACGGAAGTGCAGAAATCCTGGGGAAGGACCCTGACTCTTGCAGAGGCGAGGAAGGTGCAGATTGGGGAAAGGGGTGGTGGTGGAGGAGAGTTTTATTTCCAGGCCCACAGTCTCTCCCTGACACCCCCCAAGGACTCCAGGGCGAGTTCTCAACTCCCCTGGACGGGGCTCTCTAGCTTCACACTCTTGGCGGCTTCTCCAATCAGCTCCCAGAAACTCCCGAACTCCAGCTTAGTGTTGTTACAGCTGCCCAGGTTGGCAATTTTCTCTTCCAGCCCACAATTGCTCTGAGGGGAGGGAAGACACCCGGTTCAGCGAGGCAGCACCTTCGAATCTTCCCACCCCACCCTGCTCAGGGGCGGGCAGCAGGACCTAAGCCTACCTGGCACTAGCAAGGGGGAAAGGCTGGGGGTTACTAGTGCCAGTGTGGATGGGGTCTTGGAGCACTTGCTTGGGAAGTTAGGGTACTGGCTGGGGGGGTTGGGGTCCACTCCCTCAGTACCGGCATGAGGTGGGGCAGCTGCTGGGTGACCAAGTCCCGTAGCTCAGAGGGGGTCAGTGTCTCCTTTCCCCCCTCCACGGAGTACTGGTGGAAGTTCTTGATGAGGGTCTCAATGGCCCTCTCCACATCGCTGAATTCCTGGGCATCCTGAGAGCAGGGGACATCACCCATGTGAGGCAGCTCCTACCACCCTGTTTCCCCAGGAGCCTGGCAAAGCCAGTAAGGCAGCTGAAAGGCACATGAGCTACCACCCACTCCAGAGCCCAGAATCCAGCCCCTCTCCCCACACCCCTGGCCCAGCCTCCAGGCCACAGCAGCCTCTGCCCTGAGCCATGGGTTGGGCAAGGCTTCCCTCCCCTCACCCCCCAGCTCCAGACAGAGCAGGTCCCAGCATGCACCCAGGCATCCTCTTCCCAGGAGGACTCCATCTGCATCACCCTGTGTGGGCCTCAGGAGGGGATTTAGTTCTCACCGGCAGGGTCTGAGGTGCAAGGCAAGGCCAAGGTAAGGGGCAGAAGTCAGTGGGGGACAGAGACCCTCAGAAGAGGAGAAGAGTATGGGAACAGAAAGACAGGCCAGGAGTGACTGGGCCCACCTCTGCGTTGGCTGACCGACACTGTCCCATGGTGCACTTGGTCCTGTGGTGAGAGTTCTGTAGTCCTATAGCCTGCCCCAGAGGAACTGATGGCTCATGATCCACCTAGTGGAAGGGGCATTTCTTTCTCAGCTGCCCCAGATATCCTGAGCCTCACCCACCGGGGGTCAGTACCAACTCCACAAGCCCAGTCCCTGCCCCAGGCTCAAGGATCTCAGATTACAGCCCCCAGGCCAATTCATTTCCAGGGAATCCCTTAGGTTTACCTTAGCTCCACACCTTCCACCTCCTCCAACCACCCACCTCTGTCAAAACACCCACATACCCACCTCCAAGACTTGATCCCCCAGCCCTTCCCCTGGGAGACTAGGGTAGGAAAGGCTGTGTGTGCCCTCTGGACAGGAGGCAGGCCATTTGGGTGAAAAGCCCTGCATTTCCTTACCTGCTGGCAGCTGCTGAGACAGGACAGGAGGAGTCAGCTCACCTGAGCTCAGCTCTTATACCTGGGGGAGGGGAGGGAAGGCAGGGGGCCGGGCCTCAACCCTAAGCCACCCCTGCTATTGCAGCAGCCTGGGCAGCAAGCCAGCCATGCGGGCCCCGCCTTCCAATGGCCAGAGCTCCAGAGCCTACCCCCACCCCTGCCATGAGGAGAGAGCCATGGAGGGTTGGGACTGGGATACCCCTGGCTTCAGACCAGCATGCAGTCATAAAGAGGGGAAAGAAGGGAGAGGGGGAGGGATGGAAGACACCCTGGGGTCAGCCTAGGAGGCAGAAGGACCTGAGGAATTATGGGGCAGGAAGGTAGAGGGGGTCTGAGTCCATAACCAGGAAAGAAGCAGCGGAACTTGGGGGGCAGAGGGGTATGAGGGGACATGTGGGTCGAGAGAGGACCCTAGAAACCTCTGTACTCTGTACTCTTAGTATGACACACATGCACCACACACACATGCTCCTTCCAGCCAGGAGTAATTTGGATATTGACATTCAAGCGCCTGCTCAAATCCCAGAGCACAGACTCTTCCAGTCCTGATGCCAAAGAGATGAGTGGAGAGAACTCGGGTCAGGAGAAAGAAGCTAGAGGTGGGTATCCTGGAAGAGGAAGCAAGATTGAGTGAGGTGACCCACCTTCCCTTCAGTTCCCTGCAGCGTCCCAGCATGCACATGTGCAAAGCCCAGACGGGTTGCCTGGCAGCCAACAACCTCTCCAAACTGGTTAGGCTGCATGCCCCTCCCTCCTCAAAACCCTGTGCCTTCCCTAACCTAGAAGAAACTGCAAGAGTCCGATCCAGTACCTAGGACAACATCTCAGGGAGCCTGGACTGTGGGTCCAGGGACTCAGCGAAACCCAAGCGGTTCTCCTCACCTGCCCAGGCCCAGAGGCCTGAAACCTGAAGTGTTACAGAGGGGGTGGAAAGGGCAGAGGGGTCAGTGTGAGTCAGGGCAAAACAGGGTGGTGCCCAGAGCCAAAGTTCTTGGGATTCTTTCCTAAATGCTGAGATCAAAGCATACTTTCCCATGCCCCTCCCCATGTCACCTTCTAGGGATCCCCTGTACTTTTGGTCTCTCAATCCAGGGCCCTCTGTGTCTCCGTGGAGGGTCCCTTCTAAGAATGTCTTATTCTGAGCGTCCCTCTGAAGGGCTTTGGTATGGGGGTCTCCCACTAGCATCGCCCAGTGTGAGACCCTCTCTGAGAATGACTCAGCCTGGGGTTCCTCTGAAGAGTCTCAGTTGGGGGTTCCTCCAAGGGCCTCTCTCTATGGGGAAGCTATCTAGTGCAGAGCCTTCTGGAATGTCTCTGCCAATGATGCCATCTGGGGGTCCCTCTGAGGTCCCTATTTGGGGGCTCTTTAACGGGAGCTCTCAGCCTGAGACCTTCTCATGGGGTGTGATAGGGAGCTCGTCTCAGTCTAAATGTTCATCTGGGCTAATAGTTGCCCCACATGGACACCTGCTATTCAGCAGTGACACCCTGGGGGAGGCAGTCCCACACAGATGCTCTACCCCTGCTCCCCCTGGTGGTGGACAGTGCAAACCACATGCCCCTCAAGCCAGAGAGAGCAGCGGTACTATGCCCAAAACTGCTTTCTGCAGCACCACCACACCCTCACCCCAGTCCAGGAGTAGAACCTGGTACCCTTCCTTCCGTTTCACGGCTGCTATGGAGGTGGGGAGAAGGGTCTAGTGTTCCCAAGTGTCCATCCAGAAAGGCTCCTGGGTAATCAGAGGCTGTGCTTCCCCCCCACCCCCAAGTAGGCGTCTCACTCTGTCTCCCAGGCTGGAGTGCAGTGGCACGCTCACGGCCACCGCAGCCTCGAACTGCTGGGCTCAGGTTATGCTTCTGCCTCAGCCTTCAAAACAGCAACCACAGGCATGTGCCACCTCGCCCAGCTAATTTTTTGATTTACTGTGGAGACAAGGTCTCACCAAACTGCCCAGGCTGGCCTCAAACCCCCGGATTCAGGCAATTCTCTCACCTCCACCTCCTGAAGTGCTGGGATTACAGGCGTGAGCCACCGCGCCCAGCTAGGATGTACATTTTAAACCCAGTTCTATCTATTCTTCTTTGTGACAACTCTAAAATCTGCCCCTCATCTTTAATGCATGATTCAAAATAGTACCTATCTCAAAGGGCTGTGAGAATTTATGATAATGCGGGTGTAAATACTCCTTCCAGAGCCGATTATAAATCACAGTGGCTCATGCCAGTAAAGCACTTTGGGAGGTGAAGACAAGAGGATTGCCTGAGACCAGGGGTTCGAGACCAGCCTGCGCAACTTGGTGAGACCTTGTCTCTACAATAAAAAAATTTTTTTTTTAGTTGGAGTCTCACTCTGTTGCTCAGACTGGAGTGCAGTGGCCACTCCCGCACCCAGACCTCATTTTGACAGTAAATCTTAAAAAAAAAATTAGCTGGGCATGGTAGTGTGTGCCTGTAGTTCTGGCTACTTGGAAGGCTAAGACAGAAGGATCACCTGAGCCCAGCAGGTCAAGGCTGCGGTGGCCATGAGCATGTAACTGCACTCCAGTCTGGGCAACAGAGTAAGACTCCAACTCAAAAAAAGTAAAAAGAAAAAAAAAGAATGGTGTGTTCTTTTCTCTCTCTCTCTCCCTCTCTCTCTTTGAGTTGGAGTCTCACTTCGTTGCCCAGGCTGGAGTGCAGTGGCACACTCCCAGCCACCGCAGCCTCGGCCTGCTGGGTTCCGGCGATCCTTCCGCCTCAGCCTTCCAAGTAGCTGGGACTACAGGTGCGCACTACCACGCCCGGCTAATTTTT